AAAAAAAAAAAAAAAAAATTAATAAATATATAACAACAAATTCAGTCAATGCAATTTGTAGGTCTGTGTCATATTTAGCCTTAGGCACGTACTTAAATAAATAGTATTTAAATCTTAGACCTATTTACAGTTCGAACTACAGCTAACCTAAAACAAAAATCCATTAAATGTGAAAGTAGAAAATGCAAAAACATCTGAAAAGTCGAGATAAGTGATTCAATAAAAACTGCGTTTCAGGGGCACAAATAGAATTTGAAATGGGTTTCGCTAGAGCACAAGCAAAGGAGGATACATAGTTAGAACGAAAGAGAGAGAGAGTAAGAGAGTAGGAACGGGAGGGGGCAAGAGCGAGAGGGCGAGCACCAAAATAAATGACGAAACAAAGTATGCAAAAATCTGTTGGATATCCCTAAAAAAAAATTTTAGAAACAATGTTTGAGGACAATAAATTTTTCAATCGATACGAATCCCAACAAACTAAACTAAATTCATTGCTCTACAACAAAAACAACAACTTTACTATAGCCAAAACCCCATGTGCACTAGACAAAGTTAGGCAAGCTGCCCAACACTGGCAAATTAGAATAACTGCAAAAAAAAGTAATATAAAACAAATATGAAATGAATTTTGAAACACGATTTCAATTTTTTGTGCCCACAAAATACAAGAAATCCAACTAAATACAAATACAAATATATATATCTAAATATATATAAAAGAGATACATAAATGTAAGCATGTAAATAAGTTACGATTTATTTTCTCAGTTTTAGTTATTTATATTTCTTTTTCTTTTCTTTTTTTTTTTTTTTGTGGAAATAAAATGTAGTAAAGCAAATATTTTTTAAAAATTGTTATATCAATTGATGATTGGGAATTTAAGGTCATAAAATATTGGAATTTTGTTCCAAGTTGAAGCGTATATAAGGAACGTTGGAAATCAAACGATAAAAAACGCAGTGAATCGAGTTCAAGCTGTTTCGAAATGCTCAATCAGCAGCGCGAAGCTGGAACACTGGAATGTGAAACGGATGTAAGCTCAAAATACGAAAATATCTAGGAATGCAGCTGATTGAAACAGTTATAAGCTGTTGGGCAGCCGCAAAACAAATACATGGAAACACTGAACGGAAACAATTGCTTAAAATAACATTTTCAGTATACTTCGCATAGATGCTGAAAGGCAGCAAATGGGGAATGAAACACTCAGACTTCATGAAAGCAAACAAAAATTGACTAATATAAAAGTAAATCTGTTTTCCATTAGAAACTAAGTATATTGACTAAGGCTGTTTAGAGCACTCTAAAAATAAATTAAGAAATGCGTCGCCAGCAATATGATTCTTTAAACAGTTGCATGGAAATGGCACATTCTTAAACTGTATCATTAAGAGAAACAAAGAGAAAATAACTAGATCATCAGATTGCCGCTTAGTATGAGAAACTGCAAATATTTAAGGGCATAATTGAATAAATCGTTAAGCAGGCGTCATAAGGGAAACACAGGGAAAATCTTTGAAACACGTTTCATGCACTTACCGATAGAGCTCGTAGCACAGACCGTAGTCGGTGAAGAGATTTGCCATGCCGCCCATAACGCTGTCATCGAGCTGCATGAAGGCGCACTTGTACATGGAGGCGTAGAGGCGTGCAATGACACGGCAATGCCGCACAGCAGCCGAGCAGGCCGAGGTGCCACGCAATCGTTGCATTTGCTCCACGGTGAAGTAGAGCACGGTGTTGTAGCGCGAGGGCAGCGTATCGATGAACGGCTGCCAGGGGCTGTCCGCGCCCCGTAGCTTCTCCATAATCAGCGTATATGTGACCTTCAGGTGGGTGGGGAAATTGCGAAAGAGCTGTTGCTGCTTCTCAGGTAGCAGCTCCTCCGAAAAGATAAGCTTTCGCGGCACACTGAGTACCTGTTCGCCCGCCTTGATGTCGCGTGTGGCACGCAAGCCCAGCTGATAGCCGGGAAATGTTGCGATTTCCACACAATCGGCTTTCACACCGCCGGCCCGTGCCCATTCATTGAAGGCTTCAATCTTGGACAATCGAGTCTGTTCAGTCAGCTGGGCATCTTCCACGGGAAAGACGGCTTCTTGCAGCGGCTTCTCGTGAAAGATCATGCGATCGAGCAGCCGCTGTAGCTCCACATACTGTTTCCACTCATCGTTCGCATTGGCTGGCTGCATTTGCACCAGCTCCAAGATGTCCTGGGCGAGCTGATTTAATGCGCGGCGAACTTTGTCTTTGAGGCTGGGTATATGGCTGCCTTTTGTTATTTGTAGACGTTGTTGTTGTTGATTCTGTTGCTGCTGCTGCTGCTGCTGCTTGTTGCGCATTTTTGTGTTGTTGTTGCTATTGCTGCTGCTCGTCTGCTTTTTGTTATTTGTAGATGTTGTTGTTTTTGTTGCTGCTGCTGCTGCCACTGCTGCGACGGCTTCATCACTTGCAGCAAATGCGGCAGCTGCTTCTAGCGCATGCTTGATCTGTTGATTCTCTTGTTGCTGCGGCTGTTGTTGTTGTTGCTGCTGCTGTTGTTGCTTGTTGCGCTTGTTTTTGCCCATGGTGAGTTTTTTCTTCTTTGTGGAGTCAAATTGACGTTTATCAATTGCCGGTTAAAAGACGCCGCCGAGCAGCAAATACCAAAACAACAACCAAATAAGGGTAAAAATTAAATGCAGCTCTGGCAACACGTGCAATCGCGCAAGCAACAGCTGTTTTGAAATGGTACGCAGCTCACGCCTAGTATCGCTGTGCGACGAATATATCGATTTAATTCCACGCTATTCCAGCAATGGCACAACTGCCAAAGAAAGGCTGAAGTTATTCTTTGAAACGCGATTTCTCTATAATGCTTATAAATATGCATTGAAAACAAAATTCTAATCATTTCATTACTTACCATGCAGCTGTAGATAGATTAATGTATGTATGCTGTATTATAATGTATTTTATATGTAAATCGTTTACTTGCTTATATTATATTTGTTTGTTAAATAATGATATGCAATTTCAATATATTTTTACCTCTATTTATATAACAATACAGCTTTGATTTATATGTCACTACCAAACGACTGTGATAAGCTGCATACTTGCCTTGAGCACAAAACGATAAGCCGATAAATCTGATCATAGAACCCTGTGCGTTGTCATACTCCGGCTAAACCACATTCAATGAACAAACGAGCACTTTGAAAACGTGCTTTATTGAGTGTAGAACGAATTTTACAGTTTCCAAAAGTTTATTAAAATCTATTTTTTTTTTTTTGTTTTTCGTTTTTTATAAAAATGAAAACTTTAGTTAAAAATCCTAAAAAGCCAAACGCGAACAGTACCATTGCTGCAGTAAAGAAAATGCCGGAAGAACAGAAAGAGAATAAAAATGACAACGAGCAATTGCAGCCAAATGCAGAGATTTCCACTGTAAAGCGTCCCAAAAAACAAATGGATACAGAGACTGAGAAGGTTTCACCCAAAAAACGCAAAGTCTCTGTTAAGTCAGTTGGCGAAGAGGAACAGAATGCGGAAGTCTCGGTGGAGCAGCAAAATGTTCTAAAATTTGACTTGGACAGTATAAACAAGGGTATTTTTCCCATATTTGACAAATTGAAGGGAGCTACAAGCAATGGCACGCAGGTGTATTTAAATGACATGATTTCATTATTTCGCTTAGAGGAGGACCTCACTAAGGTATGTGCCTAAACTCATTTCAGCAAAAAGATTCGAGAAAATAATTTACCATTTT